TTTATGTCCCATAGACCAGTCTAATCTTTGTCTGAAGAGTTAGCCTTGGGAATGGTTTTAATTTTGGCCTAACTGACCCTCTACTTTACCAAGCATGATGTCCTTCTCCAAGGACTGGTCCCTCCTGAAAACATATCCAAAGTATGTGAGACAAAGTCTCGCCATTCTTGCTTCTAAGGTGCGTGCTGGCTGTACTTCTTCTAAGACAGATTTGTTCATTGTTCTGGCAGTCTATGGTATATTCAATATTCTTCACCAACAACATAATTCAAAGGCATCAATTCTTCTTCGGTCTTCCTTATTCATTGTTCAGCTTTCACATGCATATGTGAAAATACCCTGGCACCTTAGTTCTCAAAGAGACATCTTTGCTTTTTAACACTTTAAAGAGGTCTTTTGCAGCACATTTGACCAACGCAATACATCAATTTCTTGACTGTGGCTTCCGTGGGTGTTGATTGTGGATCCAAATAAATTGATACAACACTACTTCCTGCTTTCTTCACAAAATCTACTCTTTCAAGCCCTGCCAGTTCTCTCTAAAGGACAGCTCTAGTTGAGTAGCTTATATTCAAAATCCTTCAATAGCTTGCAACAGCCATCACACCAGGCTGACACACTCTGGTTTGACACTTAGGACTGCCATACCTGGATACAGGAGCCCTGGTGGTGCTATGGCTAGGCACTCAGTAGCTAACTGAAAGATCGGTGGTTTTAACCCATCAGCTGCTCATCAGGAGAAAAGACCTAGTGATCTGCTCTCTTAAAGATTTACAGCTTAGGAAACACTATGGGGCAGTTCTGCTCTGTCCTATAGGGTTGCTATGAGTGTGAATCGACTCAACAGCCCACAACAACAATACCTGGATACAGAATCTCTGGGCGGTGCAAAGAGTTAACAGGCTTGGCTGCTAATCAAAGGGTTGAAAGTTCAAGTCCACCCAGAGGCACCTCAGAAGAAAGGCATGACGATCTACTGCTAAAAAATCAGCCATTGAAAATCTTATCGAGCGCAGTTCTACTTTGACATACATGGGGTCCCCATGAGTCAGCATTGACTCAACAGCAACTGGAATACCTGGATACAACTCCTTCCCTGTGGTAGGCAGAACAATGGGCCACAAAGATGCCCACATCCTAATCCCAAAAACCTGTGAATATGTTACACGATAAAAGGGATTTTGCAGATGTGATTAAAATAAGGACCTTGAGATGGGGGAGGTTATCCTGGATTATCTCAGCAGGTCCAATTTAATCATATGAGTCCTTAAAAGCAGACTACCTTTCTCAGCTGTTGTCAGAGACAGATGTGAAGATGGAAGAAGAATCAGAGAGATGTCATTGGCTTTGAAGATGGAGGAAGGGGCCATGAGCCAAGGAATGCAGGCAGCCTCTAAAAGCTAGAAAAGGCAGGGAAACAGACTCTCCTCTAGAGTTTCCAGAAGGAATGCAGCCCTGCTGACATCTTGATGTTACCTAGTAAGACCCTAAAATAATAGATTTTTATTGCTTTAAGTCACTAAAGTGGTAATTTGTTATGGTGGCAATGAAAAATTAATACAAATCCATAGAAGCTTCTTCCAACCAATTAGTCTCTGCTTTTCTCACCCCAAACACCATGGGTTTTCCTACCTCCACACTTCTGTTCATGCTGTTTTCCCTGCCCGGGATATTCAGACCTCTTCTCTCATCTGAACTCCACAGTCCTCGGTATCGACTGCCTGGTACCAGCATTCACCCTTCCGCCTACCAATCCTGGGGGCTCGCCGGTAGGCCATAAGTTCCTCAAGGGTAATGTCTTTGACTTATTTTTTTGGGATCCCAGTTGCCGTGTGTTATTCATAGTCAGGAGTGGTCCATAGGGGTTTGCATAAAGGAACTAGGGTAATCCTTATGTAAAACCTCTGCTTCTTACCCCGTGGCTGCATCAGCACCTCCTGGGGATCTTTGACAAAAATACCAATTCTACCAAGTCGCTGTGGAAGAGCAGAAGGCAGCTCTGCTTGTATTATTGGGAAAAGACTTCTAAGATTGAGTGTTAAGTGAAAAAAGCATGTTGCTATTTGTGTTAAAAAAAAAAAAAAAAAGGATATTTCTATCGATTTTAAGATAACTATTTACGGAAAATTTTCCTGGTGGTGCAATGGTTTGTCCTCAGCTGCTAACCTAAAGGTTGGTAGTTCGAACCCACTCAGCAGTGCCAAGGAAAGGCCTGGCAATCTCCTTCAGTAAAGATTACAGCCAAGAAAACCCTTTGGAGAAGTTCTACCCTGTAACACATCATGAGTCAGAATCAACTTAATGGCAATGGGTTTTATTTATGGAAAAATACAAAAAAGAGGTTGTTGTTGTTAGGTGCTATCAAGTCTATTTCAACTCATAGTGACCCCATGTGACAGAACAGAACTGTCCCATAGGTTTTCTTGGTTGTAATCTTTATGGAAGCAGATTATCAGGTCTTTCTCCTGCTGAGTCGCTGAGTGGGATTGAACTGCCAACCTTCCAGTTACCAGCCGAGCTCGCTTAACCATTTGTACCCCATTGGCTCCTTGAAAAAGAGGTTAAGAGTACATAACACCCTGGCATGAAGAGGCAGGAAGGGGGCCATGAGCCAAGGAATGCCATGTATACATATTACCTGTTCAAAAAAAAAATTGATTCCTGGACTGTATTGCCAGTAAAAGACCCATTAGGTCCTGCGTGGGATGCAGGAATCCGTCTAAAGCACTGTCTGACAGCTTAGAATGAAGCCGCAAAGCTGAATTGTCAGAAAGAGGGTACAGCCAAGATGAAAAAGGATATTTGGAAGCATAAACTTAAAATGCTCTTAATCAGAAAAATAGAAAGTTCTCCTAGGGACTGTGAAGCCAGGTTTGGGAACCCACTGATTTAGTCCAACCTCTGTTTCAGGGATGAAGAAAAAGAGGGAGAGTGACTTGTCCAAAGCCACACAGCCAGAGGCACACGAGACTGCCCAGGTATGTCTGATAATGAGGATGACAACATCAACCCCACTCCTGCCCACCCTCACTGAGGGACTTCTCCCTTAGAAGGTCCTGCTGACTCACCGGGCAGAAGGACAGGAAGCTAGAGAAGAAAACACCATCTTTAATCAACCCACCTGCACAAAGACCCAGGGAGCATTTCCGTCTGACAAGGTCCCAGTGAGAAGAGAACCTGTTCCCCTTGCAAAAACCATCTTATAAAAACAAAAGGCTTCAAAGCACCAGTGGCTAAACCCGCTGGGTAGAAAGAGAGATGGGGGTGGGGTGGGAGTGGAGAAAGATGACAGCTGGCTGGGGGTAGTAGGAGAGGGGGCTGGAGGCAGGCGCTGGCACAGCCTGAAGGGAACTGCCCCCCTCTGGAGCTGTACCCACCAGCTGGCTGGGCTGACCATCTGGGACCTCAGTGCTCCTGGTGGCCAGCAGAACTGCTGGGGCTGGCTCCATGGCACAGCACTGCAGATGGGACAGTGGTGGTGGGGGTGTGGTCCTAGCCTCAGGATATTTGGCCTTACAGAGTAGGAAATCCTAGATCCAAGGGTGGAGAGCGAGGGCAGAGTGGTCCCCATGGACAGGCTCAGGTGTGCAAATGGTTTGCACTGCCTGGGCTCCCTCCAGTTTCCCTGTCCCTCCCATCCTCCTTCCTAACCCAGGGCCACTCCCATTTCACAGACTGGGATACCGATGCCTGCCCCTTCTGTTCATCAACCGATGCACAGATTGCAGGCTCCTCAGGGGTGTCTGTGGAAGGAGGCAACAGAATAAGCTCTCACCTCTACACTACTCCAAGGAAAGGTGGGGGTACCTGCCCTCCCGATACCCCTCATGAGCCACACTCCCATTCTGCTCTTCAGAACTCCTCAGGGCTTTAGAGGTTGCCTCTGAACACTGGAGTGGTTATTGGAGTGATCTGTAAACGCTTCCACTCTGGATCCACAGGTGTTCCAACTGGTGAGGTGGATGAAGCCTTCTGGGGTTGACGGAGTTGCTGAGGGTAGGGGATCATAGGTGCCGCCAACCCAGCCTCGGGGACCTGAAACTGGTGGGGCAGTTGGGCTGTGGCCCCCCTTTTTTAGAGGATAGAGTTTGAAAGGTTTGCCAAGGGTGGTCAGAGGCTGAGTCTCAGAAGACTTCCCTGTGGGTCAGGCTGAGTTCAGGGCTCTGGGCTCCGTCCATCTGGTTCCCAACAAGAGAACGAGTATATTGCTTTAAGAGAGACATTGGCAAATGGTGGCAGTGGTGTGTGTGTGTGTGTGTTGGAGATTACATGGGTTCTAGAGTGTCCAAGCTAGAAAGGGGTTGGAAATGGAATTCAGAGACCAGCCTCTGGATTTTGGAGTCTGAAACGACACAAAGTGCACTCTGTTCAAGGCCTGGCTCCACCGAACACCTAACTGTGTGGCCTCAAGCAAATTGCTTCTCACCCCTAGACCTCAGTTTTCACATATGCAAAATGGGAACAATAATTCCAGCCTGGCCCAAGGAATTGAGAGTCAAATGAGAAGGCTAGAAAGTGTTCCACCTGCTAAGGGATTATTTAAATTATTTAGGGTGGGAAACTGAGGCCCAGAGAGGACAAAGGCTTTGCCAAATGTCACACAGAGTCAGTGATGGAGTTGCGATTAGAACCTAGGACTCCTGCTCTCAGTTCACAGTGTCTTTCCTCAGGGCTGGTGAATGTGTGTTGCGTCTGTCCTTCCTGCTGTTTGTCTCTGGACAGAAAGCAGGATGTGGGGTGAAGGGTGAAAGGGAGAGGCAGGAGGAAGAAGGAAGGAAGCCCCAGCACAAGCCAAGGCTGTGATAAAAAAATACAAACCCCTCGACCCCCCTCCCCAAACCCGCCCCGCCCCACCCCTGAAGTCCGGGCTGCAAAGGGCCAAGTACAAGTCCGCTTTTCTGGCTGCAAACCCAGGCCGAGCCGCGCAGGCTGCAGTCGCTCCGACAGCCGCCAGGGGACGCGCCTGCCCACCTTGGCCCGAGCTGGCGGTCCGCGTCAGTTCAGCCGCCAAGGGCGCGGCGCCGGGGAGGGCGCGGGGCAGAAGCTACCCCGACCTGGAGGAAACAAAGACGGGTTGGGGGTTAGGGAGTAGACCCCAAAAGTATGGAGGCGGAGAGACCCGGCTGCCCTCCCTCCTCCTCCCTGCGCTTCTTTCCCCCAACATTAACATCCCTGTCCCTCCACCCCACTCTGCTCCGCGCCGTGACCCACGTGTACAGAGGCTGCAGTTGTAAATGCGACGTCTTCTGGGGCGCCTGGTAACCGTAGGAGTCAAAGCCACCGATGAAGTCAACTGTGGACGGGGAGGTGGGGCATGATTAGGGGTGTGTCGGGTGGGGGGGCAAGGTGTAGGAATCTGGGTCCTGATAGGGAAGAATCTGACGGGCAGGACCCTCAGCCCCTGGAAACGAAGCCAAAGAAGCAGGCGGTGGCGTGGCTCTGAGGGCCAGATCCCAAGAAGGGCCTTACAAGCGGGGTGTTGAGGCTAGATCCTGAGGGATGGGCCTCCGAGGGCCGGGAGGAGCCCAACCTGCAGTAGGTCAAGCCCTGAGAGGGTGGAGTCTGAAGGGCGAGGCTGGCTTATCAGGGAGAAGGCCCGGGGCGGGCGGGGACGGTTGGGCGAGATTGGAAAGGGGCTGGGCCAGGCAGAGGTGGGGTTTGTAGAGCCCTCAGAGGGGCAGAGCCTAAGTGAGGCGGGTATGGCGGCGGTGCTGGGGCCATGGAAGGGGACCCTGGACGTCTGGGCCCCAGCCTACGATGCGCTGGCTATGCAGATTCCCACCCATTCCTGCCGCCTCTTGTTTCCCCTCAGAGGGGCCCCTGGGCGAACCCGGGGTCCCTCCCGGGGCAGCCCCTTCGGGCCCCTGTCCAAGGTGCTGAAGACGCGGGGTGATGAGCAGCCAAGCCTCCCCACTTCCCTAGGGGCCCCACACTCACAGCTGTCCTCCTCCTCCAGGAACACTTTGCTCACGTAGCAGGCGAACACAAAGCCGAACAGCTAGGGGAGGGGACAGCACGTCAGGGAGGGAAGGAGAAGAAAGCCCGTCCTTGACTCCTGCCAGGCCCTTTCCGCCTGGCTGGGGGGATGGGGTGTCAGGATGAAGGCAAACCCATAACAACTTCAAGTTAGATGATTGCACCTTAGTCAAACATACCTGGTTCCATTCTCTGTTCTGAGAGTCTGAATTTGGACAAGTAATTACTTTACTTCATTACGCCTCAGCTTCCCCAGGTGGACTTGGGCAATACGGTATAGGGTTGTTAAGAGGATTATGAGACATTACTTGTGTAAAGTGCCCAGGACAGGGCTGGCCCAGAGTACCTCTTCTAGAAATGGGAACTATTACTATTTCGGAACCGTTTTCACATCATTAAGCACTTTAACAGCCACTGTCTTATTTTATTCTGAAAACTCTATGAGGTGAGCATTGTCATTCCTCTTTGCAAACAAGGAAACAAAGTTGGAGAGGGCACGTGACTTGTCCAAGGTCACACCTCAGGGGTATTGGAGATTCAAACCCAGGAATGACTCATGGTTGGATGTATCATCCTATTCATTAGATCTGCTCACTCCCTTCATGGGGACTGGAGCAGGGGTGGAGGGAGATGGTACAAGGTATGGACACAGGCCTGGGCAGGATAGGCAGGCTGGAAGACCCAGATTTATCCCCATCTTAACCAGGGCTTGACAAAGGGGCTGGAGTGGAAGCCTCTACCTCTGGGTGTGTGTGTGAGATACCAGGACAGGAGGACTCACTGCCAGGAAGATCTGCAGGGCGCTGCTGAGTGCCTCGATGTAGGGATAATCAAGCAGGCAGCCGGTGACAGAGATGACATGGTGGTCCTCCAGGGCCAGGCGGGAGTTCAGGACAGGTGTCACTAGGCAGCCTGGACCATTCTCCATCCACCAGGAACGGTGCAGGGATGTGTTGAAGGTCATGATGAAGTCCCGGTCCTGGGGGCAGAGGGGCCTGGGATACTGAGCAAGGAGGAGAGAGGGATACTCCCCAGGTTCCAGGAGGCCCTATATAAGGCCTACTTCACACCTGAACTGTTACAGCAGCCTCCTTGCAGGGTCTGATTGTGGAGGGTATAGGAGTCTGCATCTGGAAGTCCACATTTGGCCAGTAGGTGGCGCTTGGTGACCGTGTACGCATCACTTTTCTCTCTCTGAGAAGGAAGGGGACGGTGCTGACCTACAGGAGTCCCCGACTGGATGGGGCATTAACAATGATCAGGTCAAACTTCCCACCCATTGGTGAAATCCTCAAAACAGGCCCCTTCACGGCCCATTTCGCCTCTCTACTGCTCTCCTTGCATGGGACCCTGGGCAAACCTCTCATTTCTTGGATCCTCGGTCTCTCCATTTATTAAATGGAGACAGGGCTAGCTTAAATCAAAAGTTCTTAACCAGGGGTGCACATCCATTTATTCATCAATCCACTCACTTACTCAGTTAACAAATATTCACTGTGTGCTGATCAGGTGCCTAGCACTTAGATGTGTGGTATTTCATCCCCTCAGCAACCACATGAAGTTGGGGTTGGAATTGTCTCCACTTGACAGATGAGGAAACAGAAGCTCAGAGAGGTTAAGCCACTTGCCCAGGGTCACACAGTAAGGAAATGTTACAGCTGGGATTGGAATCTATCAGGGTCAAACTACAAAGCCAATGCTTTTATTCACATATTTTTGCCTCCCTTAACTCTGAAAAGTGAAGTTATGTCCTCCTGGGCTTGGTCTTCTCCAAGCTAAATACTCTTCACTTTCTTTAATAGTTCTCCATGTAACATAAACCAAATCCGTTGCCATCAAGTTGACTCCAACTCATAGCGACCCTATAGGATAGAGTAGAACTGCCCCATAGAGTTTCCAAGGTTGTAAATCTTTTATGGAAGCAGACTTCTACATGTTTCTCCCACAGAGCAGCTGGTGGGTTCAAACTGCCAACCTTTCGGTTAGTAGCTGAGCGCTTAACCACTGTGCCAGCCGGGCTCCTTCCATAGGACATAAAACCAAAACGAAACCAAACTCGTTGCCCTCAAGTCGATTCCGACTCACAGCGACCCTACAGGACAGAGTAGGGCTGCCCCATAGGGTTTCCAAGGAGCAGCTGGTAGATTCATACTGCTGACCTCTTTGGTTAGCAGCAGAGCTGTTAACCACTGCACTACCAGGGTTCCCCAGAGGACACAGTCCCCTCAATTTTCCCTGAACAAACGCTTAACTAGTCTCTTATCCTTTGACAAAATATTGATCAGAAGTGGGCCCAACTCTCTGTGGTTTAGGCAGTAAAAGTGCCACGGCACTTTTGCATCCCTTGCTCTGAACACTCTACCTCTATTAATGGGGCCTAAGAGTTGCTTCTGGGCCACCACATACTGTTAGTTTTTACTGAGCTTGTGATCAATTGGGACCCCCAGCCCATCTTCACACAAACTTCTGTTCAGCCTTATCTGCTCCATCATTTGTTTTGAAGAAATGGAGAGGAGGCCAGAAATAAAATGTTAGGGTGGGGGCCGGGGAGAACAGATTATTTGGGTGTGTAGAGGGAGGTCTCTCCAACAGACGATGCCCCAAGCCCACACCACACTTGAGCCCTTGGGGTAGGGAATGAGAAAGCTTTATCCTATGGCACTGACAGGCCTGAGGCTTACCTGGGACAGCTGTCCAACCTCCAGGTAGAAGCAGATGATAAATGCATTCCAGCCAACCCAGAGCACCAGCCAGGCCGCATACTGGGGAAAGCAGAGGGGGGATCAGGGTAGGGCCTAGGGTAATGGGGATGGATGTGTCAATGGAGACAGAGCTCAAGGACTGGGGAGACTTTTGCAGGGGTATTATGACAAGACCTCACTCAGGCTGCACTTTATAGCTTACAAATCATTTTTACATCCACTCAGTCCTTACAACAGCCCTGCAAGGTAGGTACTGTCCTTTCTTTAGAGATAAGTCACTTAAGTCCAAGATCACACAAGTAGGAAGAAGTGGAGTTGACGGCTAATCCTATCCACTCTGCAGAGAACAACACCCACTAGAGCAGCAGTCTCTAGAATGTATCAGAATCACCTGGGGAGTTTGTTAAAAATGCAGATTCTTGGGTCCCACCTCTAGACACTATTGATTTTGAATCTCTAGGATGGAGCTCAGGAGTTTTTTAAACAATCCCTAGGGGACTGTGACATGGATGACACATTCAGAGACACGTTCTATATGGTAAGCCACTAGAGGGCAAGGACCTTGCCTGCCTTATTCACCACTGTAATGTGGTGCCTAGCACACAGCAGGCACTCAGGAACGGATGGATCAGCCAAGAGCTATAAGAAGTGGCTTAGAAAGTGTTGCATGTCAGGCCACAGCAGGTGATTGGAAGTGGTATGTCAGAAAGCCTGAGGCAGGGGACAGATATTTTCTAGAGGGGGTGGGAGAAATGGGAGACCTCTTCACTTCCTAGGAAGAAGGCTTGATTCTTATAAGTGGTTGTGATCTTTTGTGAGAAGGTAAGTAGAGGCAGAAATTTAAGGATGCTGGGAACTCCAGATTAAAAGAGACAGGAAGTTATCCCACAGCCTGGTGCCCAAGTATGAAAGTACAGCATCATCTCACACATGGCTGTGGCTGGTAAAGCCTGGGTGTAAGGGATGAGACAGGTGGGGTCAGGGCAACAGGTGAGGTCTGGAGAAAGGCTGGGGTGAGTAGACCACACTGAGGCTCCAAAGATGCAAAGGAAGTCTCAGTCTGGGCCCTGGAAGCTCTCACTATGTCACTCCCTTCCCTCCCCTCCTTGCTCTGGGAACTACACCTGTGTGACCCAGGCCAGTCGCTGCAGCCCCAGCAATCCTTCCCTCTGGCTGGCTGGGGAGGATGGCGACGGAAGGGTCTGGGAATGGCCCTTCGGTTCTCCCACATCCCGGATGTAGCCGGTTCTGGGGAGAAGAGTACCCTACCCACGGCAAAGGGCTAGGGAGGAAGAGGTTACAGTAGCTTCGGGAGCTGGTTATTTCCACTCAAGTCCTGTGCCTGTGATTCCAGCGGCTGTCCCCTGGCAGACAGTGATGTTCACAGCGGTGCCTGGGGCTTACCTGAGAACCAGAGAGAAGGGTCCTCTTATCTCAGGTGAGAGAGGGCTTTGGAAGGGCCCTGTTCACCTGGCCCCTTGGATCTTAGCCTGTGGGAGGTGGGGGAAGTCCTAGAATGAGTATGAGTGGGCTCTGGTGACAGCATGACATTGTTATCGTGGGTGTCAAACATTTATGTAGTATATCTACCCAAAAGCCTTTTCCCTCAAGAGAGGCATGTGAATAGATCACTGTGGAATAGCAGGGGACATGGGTGAGTTTAGCTGAAAACAGGAGCTTGACAGCGACCATGGGGGCCAGGGCTTGGAATGAGGAAGAAGCGGGAGGGAGCTGGGGATAAAATCTGACCCCTGGGATTGGAGTGCAGGTAGACACTGACCTCAAAGCCACACCCGTCACTTTAGACCAGATCCTCAGTGAACATTAGCCAGCAGGGACCGACACTAAGCCGTCCTGAAGGGTCAAATCCATCATGGCAACCAGCTGACAAGAACATGCTTCTGAGAAAGTAAAGACAAAGCCCATCCCTGGTTCGTCTCTCACTCTGGCTTACTGAGGCAGCATGGTGACGTGGCAAGGGCCTTCCCTCTGGATCTGATGCTCTAATTCTTGCTCTGCCACTTATTAGCTGTGTGACCTTAGGAAACCTCGTAACTTTCTGAGCCTCAGTTTCGTCATCTGGAAAATGGAGTGGTAAGACATACCTCACAGGGCTGTTGTAAAGATGAGAAAAAGCAGGCAAAACTCTTAGCAGCACGGTAGGCACTCACTAAATGATATATCTTGTTAATATCTGGATTGTCACCCCAGGAAATTCTTCAGGAAAAATACCAACCTTGTCTCCGCTGAGCAAAGATGCATTGGGGTTTGGGCATCCACCCCACCAGCCAGGCTGGAGCCAAGACAGAGCAGGAGTCTGGGTGCCCGGGGTGGGGGGCAGTTCTGGCTGGAGGAGCAGGGAGGGATGGGTAGCAGTGAGGAGAAGAGGCCAGCTGGGGGAGGGATTCGGTGAGCCGTACCAGAATGAGGTACCGGGAGCGGTACTGCACTGTGCCAAAGATGCCCAGGATGACTGCCATGATGTGCAGGAAGTTGGCTAGGATGGGGGCCCACTGGTAGCCCAGGAAATCAAAGATCTGCCGCTCCAGGGCAGCCACCTGTGGGGAGAGAGTAGGCTGAGGCCATGGTCACAGGGACTCGTCCTTGACCCTGTGGAGCAGGTGACACCAACTACCATGGTGACGAGGAACCATGGTCTGATTGTACACGAGTCCCAGAGCCATCCAGCATCTGAGTACCAAAGGGATGCTGGCAGGTGGGGGCAAACCTGGGTGGGAAGTGCAAAGCCCTGGTCATCACTTTGGGACAGGCTAAAGAGATCTGGGAGCTGGGGTTTAGAGATCTGGGAGCCAGGGTTTAGAACACCTTCCTCTCCTCCAAGGAAGCCCTCCCCACTACTAGCTCAAGCTCTTACACCTTCCACATGTGGAGCTGTCAGCCAGTGCAGTTGGGATCCAGACCCTATCTCCCAGCCCAAGCCCAACAGCTGAGCCATGGCCCTGGAGGGCCCAGGGAAGTCTCTGAACCTAAGTTACCTCCTCCAACGACCCCTATCTGGAGGTTGCCCTGGCCCATTAATTCTTTCCATGATGCAAGGGGTCACAGAGAAAGGGCTTTTCTTCCCTCCCTTCTGTGAGGGAGCTGCAGTAGATTGCAAAATTCTTCAAAGCCTTCCTTTCCCCATTTCCACGCTCTTTGATAGTACCCTTCCACGCTCTGTGCTTGGTCATGTGACTTGCTTTGCTTAATAAGTCCTGAGCAAACACGATGCAAGCAAAGGCTTGAAAAATGCTTATGTATTGGAGCTTGCCCACTTGCTTCACTTTTAACACAAAGACCACTTTGTGAACAAGCCCAGGCTAACCTACTGGAGGATGAGCGGCTGCATGGAAGAGAACTCAGGCACCCCAGCTGACAGCCAGTCAACCATCAGACATGGGAGTAAGGCCATCCTAGATCATTCAGAAACCAGCCAACCCATCAGCAGACCACAGACACACAAGAGCCCAGACTAGAAGAATCTCCCAGCTGACCCAAAGAACTATGAGCTAAATAAACAGTTGTTCTAAGCCACTAAGTTGTGGAGTGATTTGTTATGCAGTAAAAGCTAACTGATACAGGAGTCAATCAACACCCCTTCCAAGCAGCCACTTGGTTCAATCTTTCAGCTGATGTATTTAGGAACAAAGGTGCCAAGGATACTTACTGTTTTTTTTTTAAATTGTACTTCAGGTGAAGGTTTACAGAACAAATAGTTTCTCATGAAAACAGTAGTACACATATCATTTTATGACATTGGTTAACAACCCCACGACATGTCAACCCTCTCCCTTCTCGACCTTTTTTTTCTTTTGGTGAAAATATACATTAACCAAAGATACACCATACTTACTGTTTTTGACTGTCTAACATCCCTTCTTCTGGTAACAGAATCTACCTATGTTTAGGAGAACCACCTCCCTCACACTCTGTCCATGTGCCTTGGGTGGGACTGACTCCATTTCTAGTTTTGGGGTGGGCATGAGATCCTGGCCTGGCCAAATAATCAAAGATACAGTGATCGGTTCAGGGGTGGGTACTCACCCTGGGCCCTGGCCCCGCAAATCACCCTAGATATTTGCTGGAGCAATCAGGAAACAGATGCTCTCTAACTGAATGGGTATGGTGTCAGCTTGAAGCTCCTGGTGGCTGTCTTTGCCACTTCAGGGGGGCAGCCTGCCTGAGGAGGAAGCCACAACTGAGGGACAGAGAGCGAGCGAGGGAGCAAGAGTGAACAAGTGAGAGGAGTGTCTTCCTGACATTGTTTTAGGTCCTGGATCTAGCCATGCTTAAAGCTATTTCTCTCCTCTTGTACTTCTGATTTCTGTCACTTGCAACCAAGAATCCTGACTAAAATAGGAAGGTAGAGAAGAGGGTCTGGCTGGGGAAGGAGGGTGAAGATTCTGATGAAGTGAGAAGGCCCCAGAAGCCTTTTTCCTGGCAGGGAGGTAGGAGGTAGAGCTGATGCTGCCAGACAGATGGCAAAGCTTGGGCAGAGACCAAGGAAGCTGCAGACTTGGGCAAGGGGGTAAAGGGAGCCTAGTGGTGCCAGACCCAATCCTGGCATCTACCCATCTGGCGCCAGCCTGCGTCTTGCTAGTGACTCTCCTCCCAGGGCTCTGCAGATTGTAAAGAGCTTTCCAAGTTCATCTCTCACTGGATACTCTTTGGCAGAAAGGCAGGGCTGGGATCATTATCTTATTTTAAAGAGAACAGGAGGCTCAGAGAGGGGAAGTGACCCGCCCAAGGTCACACAGCAGGTTGGTGGCAGAGCCAGGCAGCCATTCTGCCTTTCTCTGCCACCTGTCCCATCTTGACACAGATGCACCATCTTTCCCAGTTGGCACTGGCCTGGAAGTCAAGAGGTGTGGGTTCTGGTGGAAGGTTTACCACTGGCTCTTCAGTGACCTTGAGCAGGCCACCTTTCCCCTGGGTCTCAGGCTCCTCTTTCGTACATAGCGTGCACTGGACTAGATGGTCTCCAAGAGCCCTTCCAGCTTTGATGGCAATGGCCTGCTGACCTTGGGGGAGAAACTCCCCAGGCTTGCTCAGGGCCCGCTGCCAAGGTCTTTGTGTGCTGCTCCCTCTCCTGAAGGCTCCTCCCTCACTTCTGTTCTTTCCCCTTCCACCCTGACCCTAAAGCCACGGGAGCTCTGGTGGCCTGGGGTCTAGCTTGATGCTCTCGCTCAGCTGGCACCTGGTCCTAGGGGAGAAGTTCCCCATCAGAGGATGGAGGAGACTGTGACAGAGATGCTCAGGCTCATGGTGTAGCTGGGGAGAAACCCCACCAGATATGCACGCCTACTACGTGACGTTACCACCACCCTCCCCGGCCCCTGCTCAAGGACCTTCTGTTTTCCCCATGACTTCACTGACAGACGGAGCAGCATGGATAGTTTAAAAAAAAAGAAGAGAAAACTTTGGAGTCACTTAAACTCCAAGTTCAAACCTCAGCTCTGCTGTGTGACTTAGGGCAAGTCACTTTCCTTCTCTGAGCTTATTTCTTTGACTATAAATAAACCCATTGTGATCCAATGATTCTGACTCCTAGTGACCCTATAGGACAAAGTCAAACTGCCCCATAGGGTTTCCAAGCAGTGGCTGATGGATTCGAACTGCTGACCTTTTGGGTAGCAGCCGAGCTCTTAACCACTGCGCCACCAGGGCTCCTTGACTATAAATAGGGAAGATAATCCCTCTCCTGAGAAGTTGTTGTGATAATATAGTGACATCACATAAACTAGCAGACAATTAGACTTAATAAAAACAAAAATCAAATCAAATCCATTGCTGTCAAGTCGATTTCGACTCATAGTGACCCTACAGGAGAGAGTAGAATTGTCCCATAGGGTTTCCAAGGCTGTACTCTTTACAGAAGCAGACTGCCACATCTTTCTTCCACAGAGTGGCTGCTGGGTTCAAACCACCAACCTTTCAGTTAGCAGCTGAGCACCTTAACCACTGTGCCACCAGGGCACCTTATATTTAATAAATGGAGGCTAATTAATAGACGACTTATCTAAGCGTCTTAGTTTGGCCCTGGAGGCCTGCTAGGATCTGGCTAAATCCTTTAGTCTCGTCAGCTCCTGCCCCCAAGCAGCTGACATGACACTTGACGTCCCATCTCCTTTTCTCCAAGTCCTCCTTGGTCTTCACAGTGCAGCTCAAATCCCCCTTTTCCAGGAGGACCTCTCTGACTGCTCTGGCCCAAAGGGATCTCTCCTTCCACTGAACATGGAGCACCGGCTGTCCTTGTCACCTAAGGATATTGAGCAGCCACCCAGCCATCCCTCCAGCCTCCCATCCACCAATCATTCCTCCACACCCCACCCACTGCCATTATCCATCCCTCCAACCTCTGATATTCCCTCATCCACCAGAAGTCCTCATTTATTCATTCACAGAACTTTCAGTGTCGGGTTCTGAGCTGGCACTGGGGCGCTGAAGTAGGAAGTCACAGTTTCCACCCTTTGGGAACTCAGAGTCTAGCAGAAGAGATGGATGGGCAATCCGACAGTGACAAACCGTTGTAGTCAACGCTACAACCCAGGCCTGCAGCATGCTGTCTCTCTCTCTCCAATGGTGAGCGCAGAGATAGATTTTAAATATATCTTTTTTAAAAACTGAGATTCAGTGTCTTATAGGTAACCTCAATTCTAAAATTTTTGGTATTTTCAGTTAGAAAACCAAGTCAAATATCTCAGGACTTCTGCTTCCACAACAGTGATGTACAGATAATTAACAAATAAGGATGAAAACAGAATTGGAGAAAAACTTTCCCCATCTGGCTGCACCAGCTTAGAAAGGATAACCTGAGGACTGTGGTGATTGTAAGTCACCCCTGGCCTCGGTGTGTCTTTGTTTCTTTGAGGGGAGGAATTGTGTGGAGGCAACAGCAACCTACCCTTTTGTAACAATTTCAATGCACGTGCACTGAGGAAAAGATTACTCTGGGGATATTTATACCAGGTCAGCCTGCAAGCCAGGTCAAGCTAGCTTCTGGAATCTCTCTCCCAACAGGTCTGTATGAAAACTCCTGTGGGCAACGGATGCAGTCTCCTCCCTGATCTCCTGGCCACCCCCTCACCCCAACCCTCCTGCTCCAACAAGTGCTTTTTCTAAAATACAAATCTGGTCTGGCCACTCTGTCTTCAGTGCAGCCCAGAGAGCTTGGGGCAAACTCTATGGCATCTGGGCCCACCAATACCCCAGCTACACAATACTCCAGGCATGCAGGCCCCCAGTCCCCCAGCCCCCCATGGACCAGCCATGCAAGACAAGTCCCCTTATTGTCAGTCCCAGAGTGACAGATGAGAGCAAGCCACCCAAGTCTCGCAGCCCTGTCTCCATCTGTCAATGCCCAAAGAGCAAGTTCCACATTCCTGCCCCTCAGTCCTCTACCCTTGACCTCCATAATGCTCTGAAGCTTTCTCCTGACCCAGTCCCCTCTGACCCCTTGCATATGTCCCTATGAACCAGAAAGTGCCCCTATATCCTCAGACCCTTCCCTGAAAAAAACTGAGATTCAGTGTCTAATACATAATCTCAATTATAAAGT